TTAACTCCACTGATGGTTTTTTGGTGCATGTGACTTTGGGCAAATTGCCTATCACTGTCAGGTGTGGTGGCACACGCTTGTACTCCTGGCATTCAGGAGGCTGAGGCAGTAGGATCTCCAGGAGTTTAAGGCCAGCCTGGGTGGGCTACATAGTGAGTTCAAGGCCAGCCTGAACTACAAAGCAAAATCTAGTTTCAGAAAGACACCCCCCACCCTGCAAAAAAAAATCACTTATCCCTTTTGGTGCTTTGTTACATTAGTCAGTCATAAGTGTTCAAAGAAGTGCTGAGGATTAATCATAGTTGATTGCAAAAATTTATTTTGATACAATATTCTAGTAATTTAAAATAGTCTTTGAAGCCAGGCATGGTGGTATATGGCTATAATTCCAGCACTCTGAGAGGCTGAGGCAGGAGGACCACACATTCAAACCCAGCCTAGGAAACTTAACAATTTAATGAGACCCTGTCTCAAAATTAAAAGAAAATATTAAAAAAGGATGGGAGCCAGGGATTTAGCTCAGTGGTTCTGCCACCTGCCTTGAAAGCGCAAGAACCCAAGTTCGATCCCTCGTACCAAACAAACAAACAAAAAAGGGATGGGAATATAGCTTAGTATGAGGGTCCTGGGTTCAATCCCCAGTACCACAAAACAAAGTAGGGGTCTTTGAAAATAAGCTTTCTTAATTTGAGAAAACTTCATGGAGTATTTCACACATCAAAGTATAGAATTGTAAACTAATTATACATGGAAAAAATTATTATAAATATTCAGAACTGTGGAGGGAATTGGAACTCTTGTCTGAATTTCATAGTGTGCACTGAGAATATATTACAGAGGTCAAGAACAAAGCTGTTTTGTCATTCACCTAACACTTTTGTTTGCCAGCATGGTGGGGTTTATTAACATATGAATCAAAGCAAGAGCAAATATGAAACAAGGACACCACAGATCTATTTAAAATGGTCAAGGTAAGAGATTAAAAATAGAAAAATAATTCTGAAAATGTGTTACACTTTTATAAGGTTTCATGGAGAAACAGGATTTGAGAAATCCTTTATCAAGATAAATTACCTAAAGCAAAGCTGCAGGCAGATGAATGGGAGAACACTCATAGGCTGTAGTGAAGTAACCAGACATTTAAAATAGTAGTTCAGGCAGATTAGAGTTCTCCAGTATAAACATTGTTTTCAATAAAACATCCAGAACTTGTCAGTAATAAAATCAGCAGATTATAGATTGAAGGAGCAGAACAATTAGTGATTTAATCCAGACCCAATACACTTACTTCTTTGTTGGCCTTCTTTCTCCTCCTTCACATACACAAAACCCTCAGTCAGTTTTAATTAGGCCAACTGGAAACATCATTAACCCTTGCCATTTTTGTGGGTGGAAACTGAGTGCTTTCATTTGTCCTGGAGCCCAGCAACAGGGCTTCTCCTGGCCAGGACCAACACCTAGGTGCCTTTTCAGAGTGCTGTGTCAGGATGTGATATTGAAGGCCTACAGGCAGAGCCTACAAGGGGTCCCAAACAGATTGTGTAACTGTTGCACATGTAATGTGTGCACGTGTGTCACTAATTTAATTTTAATTTTACTGTATGCATTTGTATAAGATCCTACAGCTGTCATGTGCTCGTCATCTGTCACTGAACTGTCACTAAGCCATGCTGGGCTAAGACAGGATTATAAACGATGAACTGCCATGTGCTCTAAATCTTCTTATTTGCCTAGCTTGGAAGGTATGCCCTGTAAAATTTGATTGGCGGTGTGCACTATACTGGCCGTTGACTTTGGAAGGTCTGTTCTAATGGTTTTTTGAGCAGCTCTAAGTGGCCACATTGATCATCACCTGCTGATTCCTGCACTTGCCTGACCTCCAACCTCCACCTGTCTCTCCCCCACTTACTTGGCTAGTAGCTCCGAGGCTGCCGAGCAGGCCCTGGCACTCTGGTGGCACGTGCAGTATATAGGGCATATGGCTGACTGGTTGTATGCAGAAGAGGATAACTGAAGCCAAGCAGACCCAGCACTGTTATTACAGCAGATGGGGGAAGCGTGGCATTCAATATTTAGACAGATGCCACCTCCTTATTCCACCTGTCTGGAAGTTGGACATTGTACAGAACGAATGTCTGCCTAACGATGAAGGAAACAAAGGGCACATTTATGAAGCACAGCAGAGCAGTTGTATTTACTGAGCATGCACAAGATAATTATTGAGCATAACAATAAACGTAAACTGCTACTGGTCAGAACCTCTGATACATGCACACAATTGCAATAGGAGCAAGGAATTGCTACTCTCACCAGCTGCTGTGCTCTTTAATTTGGATGAAGGGGCAATAAAAAGTTTCTGTGAGTGCCTGAAAGAATTCGATTTTTCTCAAATGAGGGCCCATGCTCCTTTCTTGTTAAAATCCTTAAAACAGGTGTCATTTCCTCTCTCTTTTGCATATTTCTTGAAAATTCAGTCTTTTATTTTCTCATCTGTGAATAGTTTCTAACCAGGCAGAAAACAAAGAAATTATCTTTGTAACTGGTACTATTTTGATGTGTTTGGCTTCAAAGTATATATATCTTTTTCCTCTAAATTCAAAATACTGATGATTCTGAACAATAGAGATTTAGATTTAGTTAGAAATAAAAAAATAGTGGTGTGTGTCCTTTGAGAGTGTGGATTTTTTTCTGCTAGATCATACATTGTGGTCTTTTGTGTATTTTAATTTGTAAATTGTTTTATCCTCTTCTCACAGTTTAATCTTTTTTGTCAATACTTTATGTGTAAGGCTGCTTCACATTTTATCAGCAATCAGCAGGTGGGAATAAGTATGCAGAGTTTGTGTATTGCTCATAGATTTCTTACAAGAGTAGGAGTTGACTAGCTTTTTAAGAAGCAAAATCTTTGATTTGGTGCATCTAGCATTTATTTATTATAACTATAGGTGCAAGATAAAAACCTTCTTTCACAGTGAAATACTAAATAGAATTCTCCAAGCCAAAAAAGTTGAAGGCAATAATTTACAAAAAGCAATCAAAGGTTGAAATTTTCAGAAACCAGCTGATTATTCTTGGTTTAGAACTGGCCTGAGTGATAAGATAAAGCCTTTTTAAAAGGATTTCCTGGTACCTATTACCAAGATCATTGGTGATCTGAAAAAGCCAGAATTGTTATTGTTAGGAATGCTACCAACCAACAACCCTAGCTGAATAAAAAACTGAGAAGCACTTGAGACGGGGAACTTTTTGTTTTGTTTTCATCCAGGTCTAATTTGGGGGAAAGCATTCTTTTCGGTTCATTTTTCTTCAGCGATTATTTCACATTAAAACCCCATCTGACGAAAGGCATATGGAAGGGAAGGGAAGGGAAGGGAAGGGAGGTCATTCCTAATTGAACAACCTAGGACTCGTGAGGTTAATTACAGATATTAACGCTGCTGTTCTTCGGCTTCTTGCCCTCAAGAAGCCTCTAGCTTCCAAATGACCTGGCTCCAACAAAGAGACTCTCTTTAGCCCATTAACTAATTGATAAAAATGTGCGTGTTTAGAATGAGTCTAATTAAATCACCAAGCCTCACAATTACTAGTCCATTTGGTAGCTGTTGGGAGATGGGTAACCTCAGCTGGCATTGTAGAGGAATAAAAGATAAAAATAAAAGGCAGCTTAACTAAGATCATTTTGAAAGCTGTTCATTTGAAGACAAAGTAGACATTTGCCTGAAATGTCTACATTTGCTACTTCAAATGCATTCCCTTTCCAGAGCAGCACAATCTCTGAAAAAGAAAATAGTGGGTTTCTTCTTTAAGAGCAGGCATGCTCCACTTCACCTAATAAAGTTATGAGTGCCTGGGGAATGTTTTCTGTATTAGCGTGAAGCTAAATTCCTTTGGAGCTTGGAACACTGAGGTTTTTCCAGTGAGCTTTTGTTTAAGGGCTGGTAAAGATCTTGAATAAGAGACATTTACAAACTCATAGTGGCCTCTCAGAAACTCTTGCTCTGTCCTGAGTCCATTCTAACTCGCCGGGACCACAGTGGTCCTGCCTGTGGCTTGGAAGAAGGCTAAGCCCCACTGGACCCAGGCTGGAGGGTGATGCTGCAGACTCCACAGCAGTAGGCTGGGCAGAGTGAGAACTGGGCAGGAGGGAGCACCCTGCCCAGGGGTGACACCTGTCCCCTGCAGAGATGCTTGGAGGCTCTGAGGAGAGAACAGCACATGGACACTGTGCTTCTCCTCAAAGCTGGAAGCCATTTATTAATCAGAGAAATATAGTAGTTTCTGGAATAGAAATTTTCAAAGGGGAAAACAATTTGTAAAGAACTCTTGACTAATTTTCTCCATTTATTAAAAAATACAGTAAAAAGGCTAATTTATCCTGATTTCTCAGCAAATCAGGCTGATGCAAGACTCCCTTTAAACAGGTACTGCAATGGATTAGAGAGAAATTGGGTGAAAATCCTCTATTTTCTGTACTACCTTTGTAGTACATGGTCATAAAAATAAGATTGTGGCTTCTTGATTGGGCACTCATAGTCAGGTGTTAGTACCTTCGCTAGTAGCCCTGAGAGATTATTGCTTGTTACAGTTGGGAATATCCAGCTAGTGACTAAGCAACAGTTATTTTCAAACTTTTTGTGATGTTGAAAGGAGACTATAAATATCATCATATGTCAGTTTTCCATAGGCATATTTATTGATATTGATAAACCATGGCCCATCTACTTGACAATGATAGAAACCCAAGCAAAAAGTGCTAGAAGCACGCTCTCGATTTTCATCATTTACTCCTATTCTCCAAGAGGAGGTATTTTCTTTCTGATTATCCTGTCATTCAACTCATGCTAATTAGTGAGGGTAACAGAACTTTAGCAGACAGTTTGGTTGCAGGTGCATTCAGACTAGGGGAGATTTAATTACTTGCTAATTGTCTGGTGTCCAAGGTAACATATTACAGTTGCAAATGCCCTGGTATTAATCCATCTTAAAGGAGTGCAGCGTGGCTGAGCCTCCATGTTCAGAGACTCCTGGAGGACGCTGTTGGCACTGCTACAGGAGCATCGGGGATGGGAGATCGAGTCTTTTGTATTCATGACTGAATACCCACTGACTGGCGTAGGGCAGAACGCATAGTAGACCCTCAGTAAACAGTTATTGGGTAAGTGAATGTGATTTCTTTTTTTTTTTTCTTTTTTTCTTTTCTTTTGGTACCAGGGATTGAACTTGGGTCCTTGTGCTTGCGCAGCAGGCAGCGAAACCACTGAGCTAAATCCCCGACCCTAAGTGAATGTGAATTAAAAGAAACCACAAGCACAGTATGGTTTATCTGAGCTTAGAAAGGAAAGCTGTAACTTACAAAAGTAAACACAAATTATAGTATATCCAGACCATGGAATATTATTTAGCTCTAACAAAAATGAAGTAGACTAGGAGTGAGATCGTGGTAGAGTGCTTGCCTAATGTGTGTGAAGCCCCAGAACTACAAGACAATAGTAACAACAGCAGTGAGACCCCTAACAGCAACAATAACAATAAAATCAACTTTGCTTTAAAAACAAAAATGAACTATCAAGCCATGAAAAGACATGGAAGATACTTAAATACCTATTACTAAATGAAAGAAGCCAATTTGAAAAGGCTCCATACTACATTTCAACTAGATGACATTCTGAAAAAGGCAAAAATGGAGATCAGGGGCCGGGGATTTAGCTCAGTGGTGCCGCCACCTGCCTCGCAAGCACAAGGTCCCGAGTTTGATCCCTGATACAAAAATAAAAACAACAACAACAATAACAAAAAAACCAGAAAAGATCCTTAAAAAAGAGTTGGTTTGAAAAAAGAAAAAAAAAAGAATATGCTACCACTGACCTAATATGCCTGGAGCACTGTAGGAGAATGAAGGACATTTGGTACTTACTTGTTAAGAAGCTGGCATTATCCTAATTCATATAATCTGGGTTTCTGCTGTAGCCTAAAAGGCATGACTCATTGTAAGGGAATGCCAAGAACTGCCAAATAGACAGTGAAAACACTGAGGACAGTCTTTCCCCCTCCACACAGTTGGCTTCCCTTCTTATGTATGTCCAGCATTTTGATGATATTTGGCAGCAATTAAAATGATGCTGCTGCCCCCACCAACTTGTTAATTTGATAGGTGGACTTTATTTGTGTGGGTCTCACTCAGCCCAAGGAGCCTCTCAACTAGGAAGTTAAACCACTGGACTAAAGGACCTTGTTCTCCCTGGCACAGGGCACAGAGTACATCCGTTATAAGAAAGGCATAAGCAGGCATGGTGGCACATGTCTATAATCTCAGCATTTGGGAGGCTGAGGCAGGAGGATTGGGCATTCGAGGCCAGCCTAGGCTACAGGTTAAGTTCAAGGGTCCTGGACACACTGTCTGAAAAGCAAATAAGGAAGGAAAGAATAAAGGAAGGAAGAAAGAATAAAGGAAGGGAGGGAGGAAGGAAACAGAAAAAAACAGAACAGAAAAAAGAAATCATTAACTATCCTGCTATTTCCTGCCTTTGGATTTATTTGTTTGTTTGTTTTATCGTCCAGACTCTGATGTTGTCACCTTTCTGTCTGCCTCAGATGAAGGCTGCTGACATTATCTGTGGGGAGTGGTGTGTTCCTCAGGAAGGCTCATCAGTATGCTCAATCTTAACTTGTCACCACCAGTTAACTATTTGGGAAGGGATTTAACTTTGTCAGAATGTATAGGATATTTATTCATTGATTTAGGGTTGAGAAATTTGTAAGTTCTTGAATTTCCTTGGAGACAACAAACCAATGAATTTTGACTTGGGATAGGTAGATGTTTTTAAATTTTTGAGCCCATTCTTATATTAGCTACTACATATTTAGGAATTTACACTCTGCTCCCCAGAGAGTCAAATTCACACATGTTGATCCTCAGTCCTGTGTAAGCCCCTTTTCAGTCTGGAGTGTTAACAGGAAACTCAATTTTGGTGGGCTCTGGGTTTCTCATCACACTTACTGCGCAAGGCTAGAAGCTCTCCATCTTATCATTGGCTTTGAGATCGTAGTCCATGAGAGAGGACCTAAGGCTGACCCAAGGCCAACCCAGTGATTGGTTTAGACCCTGAAAGCTCCACAAATGCTCCAGAGTGCAGTAAATGCCCATCGATAAGCACATTCTCTATCACAGCAAAGTAAAGGAACATAATCTGAAACCAGGAAGGGACTTTGCACCAGGCAGCCAGGAAGTATGCAAAGATAATTATCAGCCCAAGTTCCAGCATCTCACTTGTGGGCCAAGGTGCACTGTACATTGATTATGATAGTAAAGGGATTACAAATCACACTGGGCATTTTGTATATTATTGAAATCCAACAATTGGCAGGTCCTGGCAAAGAGAAAACTCAACATTAACTCAAGTGGGCTGATAAAAATCATCATAAACCACTTTAGAATATCCCTTAACCACAAAGCTGAATGATTAAATCAGACACCTCTCAGCTCTCCTTCAGTGGTCATTTCATGTTCTGTTAAGCCCAAGAGTTTTTTGTATCTAAAGTTCAGAGGCTATGACTTCAGCTTTCCTGTATGGAAGCTGGTGACACTGCATAGGAGGAAAGGAATCTTTTGAATGTTTAGCCAACCTATATCATGATAATTATTTTTAAAGTGGTGGGGCCTAGGAGAGACTTCTGTCATTAAAGGCTGGGTTTTCGTGGTATAGACAGATTCACTCAACAGAGAACTAGCTAGGTGAATGGATAGGTGAAAGATGACCATCTCTATCTGCTTGGGAACCTTCCAAGAACTGAATGCCAATAACTGACCCTGACTGAAAGTTAGGGAGAAGTTGGGATGCAGATGGGTGACTTCCTAAGGTCTTGTAGCAAATGAGGAGCTAGGACAACATAAAACTGTCAACCAAGTAGTGTACCACAAGAGCTGCCTGTGGAAGCCCAAGTGTATGTTTTCATAGAGCAGAACATATGATGTGCACCTTGAATCTGAGATGGCCTGTATGCACTTCATCAAGAGTACTCCAGTCATAGGGCCGGGGATTTAGCTCAGTGGTTTCATCGCCTGCTGCACAAGCACAAGGACCTGAGTTCGATCCCCAGTACCAAAAAACAAAACAAAACAGAAAGAGTGCTCCAGTCTTTTCATTAATGTCGCGAAGTGCTTTTGTGGGGACCAGTAGTCTACTCTGGAGCATTCACACCGACATTGCCTCTGAACTTGGAAAAAGAAAAAATGAGACTGGAAACCTGCTAACTAGAGTAAGATTTCACATTCCAACTTTTCTCCTTATAGCAAACCTTCTGACTAGGAACTGGTGACTCAGACTCCTCAGAGGTATGTGGAAACACAAACTTTTGTGTCATTTGTCTTGTCTTGTTCTCTCTCTCTCTCCCTCCCTCCCTCCTGCTCTCTCTTGCATGTGCTAGGTATTGAACAGAGGGCCTAGTAGTGTATACTAGAAAGTACTTCACTATTGAGGCACACCACCTAACGTGGAGTTTTAATTTTTTTTTTCCTGGTATGGTGGCTTGAACCTAGGACCTTCACATTGAGCTACATCCTTCCTACCCCCCCCACCTTTATTTTATAAATTTTTAAATTTTGAGACAGGATCTCACCAAGTGGCCCAGCCTGGGCCAGAAGTTTCAGTGCTCCTGCCTCAGCCCCCAGAGTGCTGGGGTTACGGATATGTACCACCACTGCCACCTTGGAGGGTTTTTTAATTGAAGTGAATTAAAGATGTTTTCAGAAATCGAGGTGACCAAAAGCACCACAGAAATTATAAAAATCTGACTCAGAACATGCCCCTGGAGTCTTACCCTCTCCAGGTACATTCAGCCCCTGAATCATAGTTTTCCCCTGTAATGGACACTTAGCAACATCTCTGCAGTTCTCCTTTGAAACAGGGTAGCAGCATGGAAGAAAGACACGGCTGCACTGGACATGCCAGCCACTATCCATACACTGACCTGAGGTCCACCAAGGAGACTTAAGCAAGGGCACAGTGTACCACATACACACACTCCTGTGGGGAGGGCTGCTCTGTACATAACACCCAAGTCTCCTCTTTCTTCCTCCTCCTCGCCATGAACAGCAACCACTGTTCATAAGCACCCATCTGTGCTGAGCACTGCTATTAGGAACCTCACTGAATTATTTTTGCTCATAATCCTCCTGCAAATCCTATAAAAACAAGACTTCTTTTCATTTTTACGTGGAGGCTCAGAGAGATTCCATGACTTTCTCAAGGACACCAAAACAGCAGCCAGGGTTGGGTTTGAACCCACATCTGTTGGCTTCTGCTATGCTACACTGCCTTCACTTAGAAGAGTATTTATACCTTGCCTGTCTATTGTGGAGTTTCCTATGTCACCAGCACGTTCAGTCAAGGTTGAACTAAGTTTTCTTACAGAAGATATTTTAGAGCATTTTTGTTTCCATGAATTCAGCAAGGCCTATGCCTTTCCCTCACCCCAAATTGCTTCCTGGAGTCACTTGAGCACTGGGGAGAATAGGAACTAAAAATTATATGCTGTGCACCTCTCCCAGGAGAAAACATCATGCTGATTTTATACAGGTCGAAAGCTTGGGGGTATTTTATGCGGATTTTCTCAACTGGTGACTTCAACCTTTTTGCATTTGGCACTTATTAGGGACTCTCCAGGGGCCTCCTGCTCCATGGAGCCTCCTCCCTCAAAGATCTTGCAATCTAGTCAGGAGGCAAAACAGACACACAAAGTAAGCAATTAGAGAAAAGAGAAGTGTCAAATTGTGTGGCGCCACTGCTGGAAGTAAAGTACTGTTGTTTGGAAGAGGAAATACTTCCTGGGAGGGGGTAGGGGCATTAGTGGGCTTGTTCAGGAACATGTTGAATGCAAGGAGATGAGGCTTCTCTAGAGTCAAACATCCAGAGAGAGCTGGTAATGCATAATCAGAGCTAGGGGATGGTCAGGACTGGAGAAGGAGGCTCCTAACTTCCAGACAGGGACAATATTAAGGGCAAAAGAATAAGTAAGGTCCAGAGGGTTTAACTCTAGAAAGAAACAGAGGATTAAGGAGAATCCACAGTCAAGAGGGTCAGTAGGAGAAAGAATCAGGGAGGTCATATTGTGGAAGTGAAGAGTGTGTCTGTGCAGGGAGCAGTCTGCGGTGTCGCTAGCTGCAGAGACTGAGCAAGATGAGATTGCAGAAAAGACACATGGAGGTGAGTAGCTGAGGACCTGATGACCTCGCTAGTAAGATAGCTGAGCCCCATAACTTCATGGCCTCTATCTACCCACCTTGACCTCAGTGTCCAGAGGCATGTGAGCCAGTGAATTTGCCAAGATAGAAGGCATTAAATGAAATAAAGAAATTTACATATAAATAATGAATTTATACTGCATATTTGAACATACTTGGCATCTTTGTTTTGAAAGAAAGTGAAATGTTCTCAGATAGCATTGGAGGGCACAGGGATGCCAGAAGGGAACTGAGATGTGAGAAGCTCTTCTTCCTCAGTGGGCAGAAGTGCAGGGCCCATCCACTCTGCCACACAACCCTTCAGAGAAATAATCACATCTTCTGCAAAGTATGCCCATACAGTGGAAAGAGTGGGTGTATTAGAAATTATAATCTTCAGCCAGGGATTTAGCTCAGTGGTGCTGCCACCTGCCTTGCAAGCGCAAGGTCCCGAGTTCGATCCCTAGTACGCCCCCCCCAAAAATAAATAATTTATAATCTTACATAGCAAAACTTCTTTATGTCAGACTGCTGTATTACATCTTAAATGACAGCACAGTTTAAATCGCAGGTGTCCCGCCCCCGCCTCCTTGCAGAACACTGACTTTGAAATAAAAATATGGAAAGGTACAGAGTGCAGAGAGCTCTACTGGGCCGTTGGATGGAAAGAGGAAGAAGGCTTTTTTATATCCTCTTTGCCAGGCCTACTACATGTGTAAACCAAAATGTTTTTGAGAAAAATAATTCACTTTGGCGAGGTCAATCTGAAAAATAAATGGGTATTAAGATACAATGCAAAGAATTCGCCAAGTTACACATTAGGGTCTTAAAATGTTTTATCCAAATCAATCATTTCTGGGCCGGGGATTTAGCTCAGAGGTTCCGCCGTCTGCCTCGCAAGCGCAAGGTCCCGAGTTAGATTCCCACTAACCCCCCCCCCCCCAAAATCAATCGTTTCTTATCTACCCTTTGGGACAGCAGAAGTAAGGATGGTACGTACCATGTCCTTGCAGCCCAAATGTGGGCTACAGACCAGAGAAGTCTGTACCTCTTTCAGAATAACACAGCCACAGTTGGTGAGAATCGGGCCAATCCCTGTTCTCTTCTAACCCTCGCACACATACCACCTTAATTACAATCCTGGCAAACACACCTCATCCTGTGCCTGATCCTTTCACAAATATTTGCTAATATAATGAATAAGAGCCCCAAATTGAAATGACCCAACCATGGAAATAAATACACAACAGCTGTCAGAACTGCTGGTACAAATTCCAAAGGGTGGTTCATCTTCAAGGTGTACTCACAAAGCCTTAGGGAAGGAGTGCTTTGGAAGAGTAAATGTGAAATGTTCACACATATATTTTCCCCTCTGCCAGAGAACAAGAGCCAAGCTGTAGATTTAACTAATTAAAACCCATCAGTATCAGCAAAGATCAGAAACTGAGTTCTGGCTAGTGAGGTCCCAGTCTGTGCCCAACAGGAAACAGCCCCTGCGTTCCAATACATTCTGCCCCAAGCAACAAGGCATGGTGGGTGCCAGGCAGGTGGTCTGTGGATTGCACTGCTAGCAAGGACTTGATAGTTGTACCTTTGGAAGTTCTACCACTGATGGTAGCAGCTTGCCAGGTAACTTGATTAATGTCACTTTGCCTTTATTTCCTTATTTGAATGTTTTCAGGCTACTTGTCCTTCTTATCTTCAAAACTGTTTATGAAGAGTTTTTAAATTTAAGAACAAGAATTAGCAAGGGCCAGGATTTAGCTCAGTGGTTTCGCCGCCTGCTGTGCAAGCGCAAGGACCCGAGTTCGATTCCCGGTACCAAAACAAAACAAAACAAAAAAAGCAAAACAAAATTTTAGGGCCAGGGATTTAGCTCAGTGGTTCTGCCACCTGCCTTGCAAGCGCAAGGACCCGAGTTCAATCCCCAGTACCAAAAAAAAAAAAAGAATCCAACTCTCAAGAACAAGAATTACCATTTATTAGCTGTCACCTGTGGGATCTACACAAGAAAGCACATAGATTTTATCCTTCAGAGATATACACTTCATTCAGGAAGATGAAATGTATATACTGAAAATAACTCATGGATGGTTGCCACAATTCAACCAGGAGTGAGATATTTTGGATGTGGCTGTTACTACGATAGGAATTCAGAAAGCAATGGTACTAGATACCTTTGACTGAGAGTGAGTCGTTCCTAAAGTTGAGAGGTTTACATCGAGTGGCTCAGTTAACTCTTAAAGCAACTTTACAGGGCAGGCAGAATGGAATCACAAAGAAATGACGTGACTGGCTGGTAAAAGTGAGTCCTCACTGGAGTCGCTTGGACCTCGGGGCCTATGCTCTTAACTGTGGCACACTACTGGGTCCTAACTCACTGATCTCCACTTCTGTGCCTTTCCCTGTGCAGCTCTTTGATTTCTGAATTAGCTCAGGAATGTTTTCCTCACTATGTGCTTTGTTCTGGTATAGGCAGTGGCAGGTTGAGAATGGTTTAAAGAAGCCTCAAGATATGGAGGCATGGCCTTGCCACCCCTGTTTTCAAAGCACCCTGCAATATTAACCATATGATATCTCTCGGTGGCTGTAGTGAAACAGCTTTTATAGGTGAGTGGCTTCTCCACCCCCTGCATCTGTGCTTCATTACAGACACTGAGAGGTCCAGGGTGATTTGGAAGCAAGGGAGAACACAGCACCCTAATTGGTCACTGCCATGAATCTGCACTCAGGGGACAGATACACAACCATAGGTAATAGCTTACACACATATTCTTGAGCTGTGCAATAGATGGAAAAGGGTCCCAGATGGATTGGGCAGGGGCTTAGTTCCGGGATTATGATGAGACAGTGGGTAATTATTGAGTGGCAGGGCCTCAGCTCTGATTAGTATCTGCAAGCTTGTTCACCTCCTTCAGAGGAGAGCATTGATAAAGATAAACCATGCTGCTCTGTGTCCTTCATGCAGCACAAAACAACACATTTCAATCTAACAGGATCAGGTCTCCACTTTGATCACAATCTGTTACCTAGATGTCTTTGCAAATTAATCAGTCCTGGTTGTTTAGTTCCAGTCAGTTTGTGCTGCTAAATTAATAAATGTACCAGGAGTA